TTTCTTTTCTCACAGTGGTTACCTAGAAAAGATCGCTCGAAAGCGATAAGGCCGCCAGTTGCCCTCCTTTTCTTTCAATTATGTTTAATTTTTATATTGTAATGCAACGAAGTATTAATAAATAAACAATTGAATCGGGAATGTAGCTATCTTCTGTTACTCAATCGAAAAGAAAAGCGCTCAAAGTACGTTTTTTTTTTTAAATTTAATACATTTATTGAAATTAATGTTTAATATCAGTCAAAGTGTCAAATTTAGCTGGAATTCTGATAATTATTAATAATTTTCAATTGTCACATTTATTGAAGGTTTTGTGTATTTTTTTTAAGTTTCATAAAAACCCGTTGTCTTTGTAATATGAAAATAAATAAGACTTGCAAGAGAAACTTGTAATTTTCAATTACCATGAGGCATAACAAAACGAGGCTTTGAGAAATGAGGTCAACTCAAAATTAATATTTATTGCTATCATAACAGAACTTTGGAGATGGTGTATTTTACACGTAACGAAATTTGTTTAGATTTATTATTTCGGGATCTCTAGACTTCTATGTTATTGTTAACATATCCGAAAATTTATAGCAGCTGAGGCTTACGTTTGAGAAAAACGCTTTAATCGCATATTATTATTATTTGTGTAAAATTAGAATAAATTAAAAATATATATTTTAAAAGAATATATAATTTTTAAATAAGCAGTGTTGAGCTAGTGGCTTCATCTTGCGGCTCTCATCCCTGAGTTCGTAGGTTCGATCCCCGGCTGTGCAGCAATGGACTTTCATTCTATGTGCGCATTTAACATTCGCTCGTGAAGGAAAACATCGTGGTGAACCCGGCTTGCCCTAGACCCAAAAAGTCTACGGCGTGTGTCAGGCTTCTGTGCCTGATTACCTACTTAACTATTCGATTGACAAATGAACATGAAACAGCTTAAGAGATCTAAGGCCCAGACCTAACAAGGTTGTAGCGCCACTGATTTATTTTATTTCATATAATTTTAAATATCGTCTGTAAAATATGAAAATAGGCACCGGAAGCCGATCTGAGCTGATTGTTTTCGAGTACTTGCGTTACTTTCGTTTTATAAGAAAATTACAAAAATCACTATTTTTATTAGTATTACTTCCGCTAACAATGAAAGAAAATGAGGATTTGATAGGAAGTTTCTAAACTTACACTGTGTTTTTGAAGTGAAACTTCTTTATCGAGGTTGGAAAAAAATTAAGTGTAACATTTTTTCGTTACGCGTAACATTTTTCGGTTACGCGCCATGTTGCTTTTTGAAGTCAAACTTCTTTATCGGCGTTGGAATGAAACTTCTTTATCGACGTATGGGAGAAATTTTGTAGCAAATCGTCACGTTTTTCAATGATAGTAATAATTCTATTACAATTAATGAAATTCTATAATAATCTTCGTAGTAATAAGATAAAATGAAATATTTGTATTCATGTCTATGATAATAAAATCCTTTTGTTAAACTTTATCTAATTTAACGAATTTCTGTAAAGTTGCATATAGTAGATCAGTTTTCGAAAAATAAGATCATAAAGAAGTTTCACTTCTTACGTGTGTACACCTAGTACACGCACAATTTAATATTTTTTTTATTATTCCAGAATCAGAAGTGTGTTCAGTTTTAATTTAATACTTGAACTTGAACGTGACACGTGCATATCCATCAACTCCTGAAGATAAAAAATAAATGCATTTCGGCTCCAATCTGAATCATACATTACACCAATATATTCTCGAGTCATATATAACCCCAAAGATAAGCGCAATAGACATTCAAAACCAGTAGGCATTCGCGTGCAAACAAAGAGACAATAAATACACCTTTATCGCAATTTTAATAGATGGCCTGAGTTGGCTGGAATGAACTTGCTTAGCAGTTTTCAAGTGTAAAATTCTAATAACTTTATAAGCGCAATTTAGTATACCTATAAAAGTTGGTAATGCGGGGTTTGTAAAGACAATTCTAAGTATTAGTTTCATCAGCAGTTTTAGCCAAGTGGCTTCAACGTGCGACTCTAATCCCTGAGGTCGTAGGTTCGATCCTCGGCATGTGTGCCTTTAACATTCGCTCGGATGGTGAAGGATGACATCTGGAGGAAACTGGCGTGCCTTAGACCTATGTTGACAGCGTGTGTCAGGCACAAGAGGCTGATCACCTACAATTGCCTATTAGATTGACAAGTAATCTTGAAACAGATACAGAAATCTGAGGCCCAGATCAAAAGCGCCACTGATTTATTTTATTTGTTATCATCTTCATCAATTCACTGTACTTAAGGATAGATTCAGAGTCGAGACTTAGCTCTAAGTATGCCTATGGCATACGGGAGTCCTCTTAATGTTACTATTAGCCTGGTCTACATTATTTCTTATAATGTATAATTTATATAATATATTTAAATTTACCGACTGATAAAGTAAATCTAAAACTAGACTCCAAATGAAAGTTTGCGGTTATTTTATTTAAACCCACTTTAAAGCCAGTGTCCACTAATTTTATAAAACTTACCCAAACGAACGTATAACAGTATATAACCCAGGTAACGTTACACGCTCCAGTTTCCATAATGGCCCATTTCAGTGTAATTACAAAATGATACCGCATTATGCCCGTCATTTACTTGATTCTAGACTACTGGCGAATTACTTTTGATGGCCACTAAACGAACTAGGTACCAGCTTGCATTGTTATTGCGTTCTGGTAATATAACCAGGGAAAACGCTGTTTAAACATTACAAAAGTTACATGATTTATTATCGAATTGAACTGAGATATCCTATTCGTTCTATTATAATATAATGCAATAACTGTTACAACATTGGAAGCGCGGGCTATTGCCAATAAGTGATCTCTTCCGGGCCACGTTAGTGAGGAAAATATGGAGTAGGTAGGTAGAGTGGAAAAAGCGCAACACTTTACCACATGTAAAGATGAAGATGAAGACATTAGCGTTCAAAAAAATCAAAACCTTTACAATTATATTTATTATTTAAGGAATTTAATGTTTTTTTTTATATTGATACACTGTTAGGGTGATATACTGGTCTGGTTATTGCTAAATAGTAGTAATAACGAATAATAATAATAATGGAAATAAGAATTCCATAAGTGCACAGCCGGCGATCGACCGTACGACCTCAGAGATGAGAGTCGCACGCTGAAGCCACTAGGCTAACACTGTTGATTAAACTATGGGTTATTGAAACTAAATAAACTAAACTAATAAATTCCCTAGTTACTGGTATTATATATTTAAAGGTGAATTGTCAACGTATCAGAATAGTGAAGGTAGATTTTTATGGAACTTATGTGCGCTGTGTCGTATTTTGAACTAAAAGGAAACAACACGTACGAATATCATATAATTGTAGAGAACATAGTTAGGTTCAAACTGTTAATCCAATATTATCGTTATAAATACTTGGTAAAGTTCATAAAACAGGTCTTTCAAAACAGAAGTATCTGAAATATATTATTATACACCCAACAAAAACTCGTCAGCTCATTAACAGCTAGTTAATACCAACACTAAAGGAAATGTATAACAAGACGGGTTCATATTAGCGCCTCTGAACACAAAGGATAGCTGCGGGCGTCACGTACCTTCCCCTGTCATTAGTAAGTTTTAATAATGAGAAGCATTGTTACAAGAGACAAATTGTATTTGAAGCCTACATTAAGTAGGATATGTTACCTCTGACGATGTTTCAGGAGGTTGTTTATTGTTTCTTTTGCAACGTAATACAATTTTGTCTTGCTATTTTGTTTGTCCGATCAATTAAATTTAAACCCTTTTGGAGCGCTTAATTAACTATGATTTAGCAAGTATTGACCAACCAACACATTATTCTTAGTCAATTCCGTCAGACTTTTTTTCCTAAAAATATTTCGTAAATAACTTTTAACTTAATTGGCTTTTAATAGTTATTCGCATTTTAACATAATTCAAAGTATCCAAGACTTGATCACGCACAATTCACACCACACTTGTACAGATGAAAATTCAATTATGACATCTTAAAGATAGCTGCCATTTGAAGAAATTAGTCCCAATAGTTATCCACAATATGACAAGTTCTTTTTTCGAACAAAATGGCTGAACTATAAAGACGTGTAACTTATGGCTGACGCACAAACCGTGCAGGTCAAGAAATGGGGAAAAGAAAGAAACTATGGCAAGATTTTTTATTAAAGTGAAACTTTTACTACATCGTCTCAAACTTTTTCGTCTGTGTGTTGCATGTCGCGTGACGGTCGGCCGCGGAGTAGGGATAAAGTGAAAAGCGCTCGTCATAGCAACCAAGGCAATAGCAATATGGCGGCGCCTATGGTTTGCAGCAGCTGACCGTGTAGTGTATAGACTATTATTTAATATTATGTGTATATAATCTAAATAATTGTTATTAATATGTGTATACTGTATATAATCTAAATAATTGTTAAGTATTATATATGTCTGTCTCTAAGACACAGAGTTCAATAAAAACATTAGTTGGAGACTTAGTCTACTTTTATTATTTCCCATTATCATTCCGATTTTCCAAATATAAAATTAAGATTGATAAAGCGATTTTATACCCTTAATGGAATATTATTCCAAAAAATTTTAGTGAAATGTCTATAATGTGAAAAAATGTTTCACTTTTACCGTGGTTTCCAATCGAGGCTTTACAATCGTAATATCCACCAAAATATTTAAATGTAAAACTAACAATTTGAATTCAAAACTATTAATTTTACTAAGAATAGTCAAAACTCCAAGACTGCAGAACATTAGGAACTTGAAAGTTTACAATTTAAAATTTCTACTACGTAAGTTTTATAGAAAATTGTTTTATTTTACATTATCACACTGGAAAGTAGAAATTGAAAATCGAACGGTTTAATAGACACAAAATTTGTACGCATTTTAATCCTCCTTTACATAGACGAACTAAAAATACTAAATAAGGTGTCGAAGCGAGCGACAGTTTTCCTGAATATGAAGTACCACTTTACAATTGACGAATCACCCCTACGATCCCCTCGGACTCGTCAGACGCCCTTTTCTGCTACTGTTGTCACTTCAAGTGCTCTATGTTTACCTTACACTGTAGTTATGCAATCTGCTAAATCATAGTGGAAGTGAAATGTGTTTAATTTTCAAATTATTTAAAAAAGGAATTCGATTCTATTTCAAACGGAACTAGTAATAAACTTAGTTTTTAGAGTAACAATTTACGCAACTCTTATGTCAATATTTGTGTCTTAATCACAATTTATGGAGAAAAAAGGGATATTTACCCCTAGCATTTACATACTTACAAAATTCCTGTTAAAAAAGAAACAAATCCTGTAATGTTATTGTTTAAAGATGATATTAATCTATATTACATTATATTAAATTTAAGTTTTATTTTTTTTTCTCTTTTTGCCAATTAATGTAACTACTTATGTTTTCTGTTTCTGTTTATCTATGTAATTTATTTTTGCTTTGTATATTGTCTAAGATTACTCAAAAATAAACAAATATATATTTTAAGTAAGTATAACAAATATATATTTTATATAAGTATATATTCTTACAACAAAACAAGATATGAAAATAAAAACTAAAGTTGTGAACTTTTTATTGTAGCACATGTTTTGCATATCTTAACGTTATGTTAATTTTACAAAACCATAATAACTAAATTTGAATTTAAAAATGCTTTAGATAAGTTACATTATTATTATACCTACCATGTAAAATTTTATATCTCGAACAAACATATTATATATACATACTAGAACGAGTACTATAAAAATCGAACTTTCTATTCCTGTTGAAAATGGAATTGGAAAATTTCATCTCCATTTGAACCATTTGAGAAAAAGCATCAAAACCGTTCGGGCGAATTGCACCTCTTCGTAAAAGCAAATAGAGTTAGTTGGATAATTTGACGCACTCACCCCCGCGGGAATCGAACTAACTCTGGGGACACACATTTGCCCAATGCATTTCTGTGTACCTAACCCGAAAGACATGCAATTTTGAAACTTATCGATCGATCTATAAAGTTACATTTAGAGGGCGAGGTCCCAGCGACATTTTAAAATTAGAATAATGAGATTTTTTGTTCGAATGCATTTGAAATATTGATGGAGTTAATGCATTTATAAAACAGCGGGAGTTTGAATTTTAAATGATGGAACTACTTCCTTTTATTTATTAAAAAAAATCTATTTACAAGGGAGTTTCTAAATATATTTGAATTGATTGCCAATGCAATGAGATTAACACAAATAATCACGATTGGTTAAGCGAAGCATCGAAATCATTAAAAAAACTAAAGAAATTCAATTGGAAATTTTCCAACAGCGAGCAAACGAGATCACTTAGAATTAAGTGCTAACCACTGCCTATGAACCTGCAACTTCAAGGCTTGTACGTGTGACGTAAAGACTGTGGTATACTTTCTTTTGAAGGCTCTATAAATTGTTGCTCCATAAAATGCTAGTGCGTACTAGAAAATTACTTAAAAAACGTAGTAGTAGTAGCTTAATGTAATAATGAACTGAATACTAGCGGAAAATGTGGTCCCACGTGGTAGTTAATCCTTATATGAATTGGAGATTAATATTGTTATTTTTTTCCTTTTAGGTCTGGATGCAGAACTATATTACGTAAGGGATGGTGTCGTGAACAACTATGCTACTGGGTTCGTTGTGCCTGTACCAGCACATATTGCAGACCTCGAGTTTATGTGGCAGGGATTGGGAAGAAAACCGGTAACTACCGATTTACTATAAGCTTTATATAAGGTAACTTCAGCCTGTGAACTTCAGACCTAGTATTTTAATAATTCGTTATTTGTTTATAAATTATTGATGATTGGGCTAGTTCGGGGACGTTTCGGGTTCGATTTTTACGGTTAAAACTAAACAAATACGTGTTCAACTTTTATTTCAATTTAAAGCTAATCTATTACTAGAAGAATTTTAATTCTGCTTATAATACGATTATTAATTTTATTTTCCACTTTTATTAATAATAAATATTGTCGTCGAAAGATTGGGATCCCTACGTCGTAGACCAAGCTACGTGCTTCGTAGCAATTTTACAAAATTATAAGGCATACAAATATCTTTTTAAAATTAGCTTTTGTTTATAAATTTCATCATTTATTTTATCAAATTTGAAAAGTAAATTTACTAATACCGGATAACAACATGTTCCATTAATAATTTTATTTTATAAATATTAAGTATTTGTCTCTAAAATACCGTTGTCGGGCATACAAAACGATTGCGGTGAAGGTAGCAAATATATTAAGATTACTACATATCTACTTGATCCTACGATGCTCTGCTAATGCTATGTAATCTAGAGAAATCATTTTTTTAAAAAAAGGTTACTTCTATTACTCTCCTGGTATCGGGTTTTCGGCTCGACCTAGACATATATGTACATTTTTGACACACGGGAGTTACTTAGTGTTCAAAAATGTATTGTGTTTGACACTCCTCAAAAACTAAAGACGATATGTTGTCTGCCTGCGTAAAGTACCTTCATTGAAGACTTACTAAGTAGGGATCATGACTGTTAATTATAAATTCATATAATCTATTCAAATTTATTTAACCTATTATGAAAACTTAATTACTAAAGCACTCCGTGGGACTCCATAAATCTCACAGATTCGAGGAAAAACAGTTTCAAAACACAGTTTAAATTGTCTACGTTGTTCCCGCGCTTTTCAATTTAGCTTTTAAGAGATTTAATTTTCCGAAACAAAGGCGCGCGTTTAGCTGTCGTTTTTCAAAGGAATTCTCAGACGACACCTATTTTATACTCTTATACTTTTCTTTTAATAATCCTGCTTGAATTTACCAATAAAAGCACTATTTAACAAATAATCTTAAATAAGATGGCAATAATTGTTTCGAAAGTCTCATTATTATGAATTATGATTAACCATATGTATTGGAGGATATATTAAGTATTACATATGCACCCACCCGCACCAGTATAAAGTATCATTTAACTTTTTACTCTTGCATTATAAGCATTATAAATATTGGTATTAGAAAAGGATTTCAAAATATTATATATTGAATTTAATATTTTTCATCCAAGGACGTATTAGTAATTAATCTACAATCTACGTGAACTTGTTTAAGACCTAGAAAATAAATTATAAAGAGAAATTTTAGATATAAATTAATATAGAATCAAAGTTGTTTATAAATTCCTTGACACGATACTTCGAAAAGGACTAATGGAAAATATGCTAATGTGTGTTGGTTTAACAGCTGCCGTATGTGATGGGTATAGACTATGACGTCAGAGCAGCGAGAACCGCCATGCTGCCGCCACAAGTTAATATTTCCGAGAGAGGATTCGTGCCTACAACTCAGCAAACATTTCGGTATGTTTCTATAATATAACATTATTCTATAAAGATTAAACCAATATTTCGTTAATACGGTCAACATCTATTATAACGACATCGAAGGGACTACTCATATTTGGTTGTAAAAATGAATACTCGTAACAGCCGATGACGTTGTTATTAAGTACCTAACAATTATTATTATACATATTATCAACAATTATTACAATTATTATTGAATGTGTGATTAATATACGTATGTAAAATAGAACTACATTTTATTTATTTCACATGAAACTTATAATAAAACGTACATATATATAAATTATTTACTCGACTATAAACTTAGTTCATCAAAACTATACAAAATTTTATATATGTCACTGTAAAAGTGATGAACTGCTGAATTTTGTCATAATATACTGCCCACGGCTTAACTAGTTTATCGATTTAATATTACTATCGTGGAAAAACTATCATCACGGCGGCGCTGGAATCGTTTAATTTATTTATGTATATTTAAAAAAAAATGTTTTATAGAATTCGCCTGCCATGCACGGGAGCTGTGAATCAAGAGATTTTAGTATTGATACAGTTAAATATATCGTCAGCTGATCGCTCAAATAAGGACGTGCGCCTACTTTTCAAGAGGAACAAAATTTGTTTAGCTGGTGAGTTTTGCTTATTTTCTTTGATTTATCTTCAATATCTATATAATATGTATCCAAGAATCTTTCATGCATTGTTAATATCATTAATTTACGTTCGCGCTGAAAATCTAAGCGTTTGATTTAAGCCTATATTTAAAAAATACTATCTACGAAGTCTTAGTAGTCATTATTACACAATGTGTAACCTACCTCACTATTGTAGTACGTCTTTCAACATAGCGAGAACTTGTTAACACAATTTTGAATACAATATACGCTATAATAATAATAAAAAAGTAGCTGAAAAACACTATAAATATAATAAAAAAGTAGCTGAAAAACGCTATAAATATAATAAAAAAGTAGCTGAAAAACGCTATAAATATAATAAAAAAGTACCTGAAAAACGCTATAAATATAATAAAAAAGTAGCTATAAAACGCTATAATACTATAAAAGTAGCTGAAAAACGCTAATATAATAATATAAAAGTAGCTGAAAACACAAAAAATATAATAAAAAAGTAGCTGAAAAACGCTATAAATATAATAAAAAAGTAGCTGAAAAACGCTATAAATATAATAAAAAAGTAGCTAAAAAACGCTATAATAATAATATAAACGTATCTGTAATACACTATAAATATAATGAAAAAGTAGCTGAAAAACGATAATATAATAATATAAAAGTAGCTGAAAAACGCTATAAATATAATAAAAAAGTACTTAAAAACGCTATAATAATAATATAAACGTATCTGTAATACACTATAAATATAATGAAAAAGTAGCTGAAAAACGATAATATAATAATATAAAAGTAGCTGAAAAACACTATAAATATAATAAAAAAGTAGCTGAAAAACGCTATAATAACAATAAAAAAGTAGCTGAAAAACGCTATAATAATAATATATAAGTAGCTGAAAAACACTATAAAAATAATAAAAAAATACCTAAAATATTATCCTTCAGTGTAGGCTTTCATGGAACAACAAAACTTTGTAACTACATTTCCATAATAAAACTAATCACATAATGAAAACCAATGCTTTCACATTGAAATACTTCATTCCCCTCCAATAAATCACTTTAACAACCGACTGCTATACTAAAAACACATAAAGCAATAAAACTAAACTTTTCTCGAACACTTTGTCAATAAAGACTATTTTGAATAAGGGTTTTATATGGCTTATTTATGGTTGTTTGTGGTATTATGATTAGGTTCTAAGACTTTTCTATAGCGCGGACTTTATAAAAAATTTCACTCTATAAAATAAAGCTTCTTTTTTGAAATATATAACTGGGGGCAAACGGGCAGGAGGCCGGACGTCGAGGCAGAATACAAAATTCCATCCGTATCACCTCGACGTCCGTCGTTCCAAAACTGAGGGGGTCGTTCCAAGGCAATTCTTGCCGCGCACTACCACTATGTGACACCAGCTGCCCACTGAAGTATATCCGACCAATTCGACTTAGGGTTCAAGAAAAGAGTGTACCAATTCGTAAAAGGGCGGCAACGCACTCTCGATACCTCTGGCATTAAGAGTATCCATTGGCGGCGGTATCACTTAACATCAGTTGAGCCTCCTGCCCGTTTGCCACCTATTCTATAAAAAAGGCTCACCTAATGTTGTATATTGATACCACTGGCCAGGGATATTCACATTGTCAGAAGGCTCGCAAGTGCGTTGCCGGTATATGAAGAATTGGTTTGCTCTTTTGTTATAGGACCCTAAGTCGAATTGGTTCGCAAATACTGCAGTGGGTAGTTGGTTCCACATAGTGGCGGTGCGCGGCAGTAACTGCCATAAGAAACGCTCAGTTGTGAAACGACTGAAATGGATATTAAATGTATTATTAATGTCGATTTTTAAACAAATTTATGGACAAAGAAAATATCTTGTTAAAACAAGGTAGAACTTGTTTATCAGTAGAATTTAACACCAAGCAGGTTTTTGGAACGAAATTCCTTATCGCGCGTTACGAAAGGAGCCATAGCCATACATCTAGCCCAGATGGAAAAAATTAAGACCAAAAGTTGTAACGACACTTTTTGCGATAGTTGTAAGCCGTGCGGTGTGGGCGTGTTTCTCTGTCTGTCTCTCTCTCTCTCTCTCATAGGAAGCAAGCCAGTTATTTTCGTTTCGTCTTTTTATTTCGCATTGAACAGTGTGGTGTCGCGACGATTATTTAATAATATTTTTTATATAATTATAACTTTAAAAAAAAATTTTTTGTTACAATTCCTTCACTAATTAATCGAAAGGAACTTCGTTCCATCCGGGTGTCCCTTTACACCTCTCAAGTTTTTTTATTTATTTAGCATAAACACAATGATATTTTTTCAATTCAAACCAGTAGTTTCTGTGATCTAACAAAGTCATCAGTTTTATAATAATAGCATACATAAATAGGGTACTTGATATTACTGCAGACAAAACTGTCTTTGTGAATTATCTGATAACATTTTGTCGATGTCAAACCATTGCTTCAACAGTTTTGTTCGTTCAGATCTTGATTACAGTGTCGCAGCAACAAAGGCGCTATTTCGTGGCAAGTTTATAATAATTTCATGCAAAATGTAGCCATTCTCATTTTCTCCAGCGTAATATTCAACACTATGGAATTTGATTTTGTTTCGTTTTGAGTTTTAAGAGTAGAAAAATCAATTTTGAAAATACTTGCTTTAAGAGTAACTGCTTCACTGCTTCACATTGATTTACTAAATACTAAATAAAAAACTATTATGGAAATAAATAACTTATGTTAGTAGTTGTAGCATTCTAATAGTAACAAAAATTTAAAGTTTATTTTCTACAAATATTTCTTCTTTATAATATTAGTTAACATGTATTTTACTTGGTGCGCTAATTACAGTTAAATCATTACGCCAAACACACTTATAATACTAGAATGTTAGAGATGTAATAACATTTATTGCGAAAAAAATCTCATATTTAAAGCCTACAATTGCCTAAAGATTATTATTCTCTCGCATATACATATACTGGCTCCTACATAAAGTGTATGTATACGAGTATTAGCGTGATATAAACGTCTAAAATAAGTTTAACTCAAGAATTCTATTAAATGTTTGTATACAATTATTATTGTTACCAAAATGATATAAAGAAATATTATCAATTCCAAATTCAAAATTTGTATTTTTATCCCTCGCTTATATTTTTCGCTAAACTGATACAAGTTTACTTTCCACAAATCACTCCCTTTATTAGCATGTAGACGCAACAGGATATTTTGGGGGATGAAGACGTTATGAAGGGCCCTCGCATCCCCATTTTAATGTGTTTACAAGGAAGTATCGATTGTTCTATTGTACGGTTATTTGACTTGTAAATTTCTTACCCCCTAGCCGTGTAATGTACTCAAACTTTTACGATTGCGAACGACACAAAACTGTTTGCGCGTCTTAACATCGTTTTGCATGTTTAAATATAAACATTGTATCTTGATTGAACGATTATTGAATAAATTAATCGATTTTTGAACCTTCAGAATGTTTTGCATTCTATCTATGCTTATATATTCGTTCAAGCATGAATAATTATAAACACATTTTACTGCTATGAGTTATACAGTCTGATAAAGTTCATATTACTGAAAGTAACACAAAAATAAAACAAAAGAAGAACGACACATACCTACTTTTAATCGGTAATATATTTATATTTTTTCTTGAAAGCGTAATATGACCGTTAAAACGAAATTGTCAAAATGTGATCGTCAAATATTTACACCGTAATTATACTTGAGTACAAAACATATTTTAAGCAAGCAAACTAAAAATTCTCACATGCCTGATAGATAGATTAGAAGGAGATGCGAGAAAGAGTCTAATAAGCATCTTTGACCGGACCGGACACGCTATGATCTTTTAGGTATTTCGTGATAACTTTATTTTTTTAATAGGCAAGTAGGTGACCGTTTGTGTCTGACTCACGCGGTCAGCTTTTGGGTCTAAGGCAAGTCGGTTTCCTCACGATGTTTTCCATCACCATTCATGCGAATGTTAAATGGGCACTCAGAAAGAAAAATCCGTTGGGGCACAGCCGTGATTTGAACGTAGGGTTGAATCCTTTATCTACAAATAAAAATATTGTCCTATTAAAATATATATAAAGCAAAACAAACCTGTTCATTGAACGTAAAAAGCAAATCAAATCCTCGAGATTAACGACGCTCGACTCAACTACTTAATCCGGACAAATCCATCGATAATTTGTTCCAAAGTTAAAATGTCGAAACAACTGTTTTGTTAGAGATAAGTTTTAAACAAACCTATAGCGACCCACTTCCTTCGTGTTTCTGTGTAGTTACTGTATATAAAATACATAAGGTATTCAATAAAAACAGAAAAGTGAATATTTATTATTTTGTTTGTACAAAATTCGAATTAAGAATACAGTACAGTTATTGTACCTAATAAAATTCTTATATTTTTGTTCGAATCTTTGGAAGATTAAATGTACCACGGCTGTACAGCTCTTTCCTGGCAACAATTATTGAATTCATTGCAATATGAAAATTTAATTAAATCCTAAATATCGGCGTCTTCCACGTGAAGTGATCGCAAAGTGAGGGACGGATTTAATAATTTCCATACCTGGTTTTATAAAACCTCCCTGTTCGCTCCAAAGTTTTTCTATTATCCCTAATATTTCATTTAGTCGGCTTCACAGTAATACCATTATGGCGGCGAAAGTGCTTTTAAAGTGAATATAATTTGTTTTCGTAACATGATACGGTGTAAAGCTGTGTGAGTAATTGGCATTTTGAAGTTCTTGTTTTCGACAAAGACAAAGAGACTTCGGTAATCGATCGATGTCAAATATATATTGCGTAAAACATGAGGAGAAAAAGGATTCTACCGTTTTTGTCTGTTACTATTTCTGTCAGTCTACACGATTTGCTGTATTGTGCGTTCCTTTAATAATTTCTAATTATGTACTTAAGAATTGTATACACATTTTAGATATCTTTAGATATTTAATTCTACTGTACGTATGTATGTCACTGAACTCCTCTTAAACGGCTGGACCGATTTGAATGACTTTTTTGTATGCATTTTGGTGGCGCCTTGCAATGTTTAGATTCACAAACCAGCTGATGTCGCTGCTACCTAGGTTATTTAACTATACTGCAACTAAACAGCTGGTTTTTCAGGTACGAGTCTCGGATAGCTTAACTGGTAGAGCTCTTGGCGCGTACCCAAACGATCTAGGTTCGATTCCTAGTCTAAGCCGTCCGTTGTTTATATTTTACCATTGTCCTGCCGTGCGAAGCCAGGAAAGATCTCTAGTATACATGTATATACATTGTTTGCAGCGCGTAATATTGTTGATTTATACATACTAGAGTGATGTAAAACAAGTGTCATGTTAAGATTAAGTTCGTCAGACTGGTCACGTCGGGGTATCCATTTTGAGACTATGTGGGAGAGGAGGATGATTTTTAATGGACAAGTGCGTGCGAAGATACGCACAGTGCACACTCTCTTTTATAACTTTCATAGTATGTATCCACTACGAGAGTACTAGTAGACTCAGGCAAGCGTTGCTGTGGCTGATTTTTATTATATTACATAGTATTAAACTATTCAAGAGAAACGGCAGGAGAACACAATCCACCATGCTTTTTGGTGGTTATCCATTAAATTGTAGCTTATGTGAAACGTTGGTATTTATTTTGATAAGGATCCATACGCTAGGTACTATAGAGCTGGGTGGTATTTTAATAAAAAAAATTAAAGGACGCTTATTGTGACGTAACTATAAAAGATAGACACTTGTGTGGACATTTTTTATAGATAGTGATGTGTCCTGAAAACATGTAATACATCATTTTGTTCTATCAAAATAGTTTTCGAGGACGCGATCGAAGGAAGTTTTTGTTTATTTTTTACACCTTGGGTTAGATTATTCAAGTTTTAGTAAGCATCCCTAATTTAAAAAAAATAGCCTATGTACTCGGGAATAGTGAGCTTGCCAAGGTGAAAGAATTTTTGAAATTCCTTAATTTGAGCCTATTCATTTCAAACAAACAAAGAATCAAATCTTTCCTCTTTATAATTATATAGACATCGTTACATCAATCACGGACCGCCATTTGCTTTGGTGTTGAAGCTTTACCAACTTCATTAATGAGTAAAAGGCTTTTGATAATAAAAATATATATATTTTAAACCAGATCCTTAACTTATTAGTCTTAAGTTAGGCCAGATTCTCATATTTAATGATGTCTCAGTAAAGAGATATTTTATAAAAAAAAACTCCTGAACTAGACATATGTATCTAACAATCCGCGAAAACAAAAACCCTCCATCTTTTAGTCGATACCAACTCCGGGGAAATAAATACAGATAATGCAACTTTCTCTACAGCTGTGATACTTTTTGACATCCAACACCTTTTGTCTTCAGTCACCGTGGGCACCCGCGCGCTGTAAAGCGCGCGAAACGTCGGATAAATTTAAAATTATGTTAAATAATTGTAAATTTATAATAATACAACAAATATTTGCTTCGGTAAGACAGAGTGGAAGGCGCTAGAAGTAGAAGATTTGATTTTTCCGTTTAGCTTAAGTTAAGCTAAGGATTTGTGCTTTCAAATAAATATTTTTTTTTCAACAGGCGTATCAACAATAGTCACTCAAAACGAAACTGCAAGATTAGCGGGGGACGCGGGACGTAACTCAGGTGGAGTGCTATTTGCTGCTGGCGGTTGTGCCGCAGCAGCATTGCTGTTACTCGCCGGAGTAGCCGCCGCGGGGACGTTATATAAGCGCGGGAACAAAGCAAGACATCATGATTCCATACAGTAAGTGTCGTTAAGATATTCGAAGTCACTTGTCCAGAACGTCTGTCTCATTAAGTACTCATGGTCATGACATATTCCTTAATAAAGTCTTTATTTGTAAACGTAACGCTTAACCAAGTTTTGTAAGTGCTGCAAGTCGACAAATCGTTAGAATTATTTGGGTTTTAAAAACAGTTGGTATTCTTATAGCTTTCTCTGTCGTATTAATAGTTCCAATACGTGTTTGTACGGTGACACTGTATACTTTCAATTTGTATATATAAATTGCACTACAAATTATTTGATATATGTTGTGTTTTGGAATATACTGTTTTTGACAGTTGAGCTATCTTGATTGATTGTTGATAGTTAGAATGTTCAGTGGGTCAGCTGTTTTTGCGAGCCTATTGACAACCTACAACTGAGATGCATTGCTTATGCGTATGACATCGAAAAAACGAGACAGTTAATGTTACCACGTGTCCTGAGCGGTAATCAGATTTCGTTCATACAATTTGTGTGAAAATTCGTACCATGACCGCTCGGCTGAACCAAAATTTGACCGTTGCGCCTGGTATGCAAATATTATAATTATCAGAAGCGAGGATAAATAATAATCATTGTTTGCGTTGTTCATTTGTCATTGAAATCTAATTTCAACAATCTTCGTTCATAATAAAAGGAATAGTGGAAGTTTATATGACAAAGAGTAGTCGAGACCATAACCTATTTTATTTTGTACACAATATAGGTTTAGATTGACCCGGAAGTTGAGGTCTAAGTTGAAAAGAATAAGCGGAAATTCGTTATGTGATTACAACACAATACTTTGTTATTACAACATTAACTGACATTTTCTTAAAGCCAACTAAATTGTTGAAAACAAACGCGCAATTTTTTTGGAAATTGCTCTCATAGATTATGTTTGTGATAAGAACACTGTTTGACAACTTTAATATGTAAAATAAAACACTCTTTGACTCCATTTATCTTTGTCTAGCTTTCTAGCACATAGCCATGTTGCTCCTATTAATCAATTTCCCAGTCTTTTACTATGTCATTTTCTATAGCAGGGAAGCCATTCCGCACTTTTTCAACTTTGTCTTTCTATGTCTTTTCATTTCTTACTAGAATACTGAAACTTAGTCATGTCTTTTATTTCTTCTAGCTTTACTCTATCTTACAATTTCAGACCTAGAACACTCCATTCGATACTATTTTGTCATACTCTTAGTTTATTTTCTTGTTTATCAGTGAGTGACCAGGTTTGACATGCGTATATCAGGCACGGTAATATACAGGCATCAAAGACTTTTCTTTTCATTTTCAAGTCAATCTTAAAATAAAAAAAATAATCAGTAGTGCGGCGCTACAACCTCTTTAGGTCTGCGCCTCAGATTTCTGAATCATGGTTATTTTTCAATCTAATAAGCAAGGTTATCAGCCTCCAGTGCATGACACACGCCGTTGACTTTTTGGGTCTAAGACATGTCGGTTTCCTCACGATGTTTTCCTTCACCGTTGGAGCGAATGTTGATTGCGCCCATAGAAAGAAATTCCATTGGTGCACGGCCTGGGATCGAACCTAAGACCTCAGGGATGAGAGTCGCACGCTGAAGCTACTAGGTTAACACTGCTCAATCGTGATATACTTCCATATAAAAACTAATGTATATAAACAATTACAAGCAATATAATCTACCTGCACAGCGTAAATCGCTATCGCTCATGAAATGTTATTATTTGTATAGTTCGGTAGAAGCTACCCTTGTCTCTGGCTTGATGGATGATAGCGGAGGCTTTATCGATACATAATAAATAACCCAGCGACGTTTAATTGCGACTCGCTTTATGCCCCACAATGAAAAATTGCCCCACAACGTTTGGTTTAGACAAACGCTTTTGTTTGAAAGAGCGTAGTCATTATTTTGTAGAATATCAAATATGGCTTCAAAAAATATTTTACAAAGCGATATTTAGTTATCCACATTGATGATTTTATGTAAAAATTTGGACATTTTTATTTACTAAGAGAGAGAGAGAGACAGACAGAGAGATCTTTTATTTACTAACTATTGTAACCTTTATATACCTATTTTATTTTAAGTCTTAGTTATTAAAACGTAATATATTTTAAAATTTAGGCAACTTGGTCAGCCAGTCGATTTTCTCTTGATTATTTTGATAACTTACATTTTTTGAACATCTCATCAACATCACCTTGATGGCTGGAAGTCTTCCACAGTCCGTTTCACAAAGCATTTTCTTTTGCGAATTAACAAACTTTGGAATCGACTCCTGGTCCCTGAGAGATACGACCTCCCACTATTTAAAGTTAGAGTGTATTCCTCCCTCAAAGGCCGGCAACGCACTTACTGAAAATGGGTGTCCATTTTTACACCTTTAAATTGTTATATTACCAGTATAACAATTTTACTATGTCTCTTCAAGAAATAATTGTAAATTATCGGTTTAATATGTTTTTTTAAATCTCCAGTTGTCAACAAAATATTTGATACGTGTATATTATTTTAATTTTCTACAGCACATCATACACGACGGCAGCATATCAGTATGGTAGCCATCAAAACGTTCTTCTTCGATTGGACACACTCGGCCGCCCACCAAGTTCTACGGGATCTTACGCGACTATAGCGAGTCTACATAAGTTTCCATTCGGTAAGCAAAATTTAATACACCAGTTCAAAGAAGTAGCAGTTTATATATACCAATTTTATAAGTTTGTGAGGTTATTTATTTGCAAGGTAAGTCGGAGAATCGATGTCCAACAAAAACGTTTCTTCCGAACGCTGCAGCTCCCTAACTATGAGAGATGAATGATTGAGTTCTAGAGAAAATGACAGCGACTTCTCTCGACTTCTTTTTAAAGTTGAGCATATGCTGCCTAACTTTAAAAATAAGTCCACCGCATCTTTCTGTTTGTTTGCGATAAAGTCCGAACTATTGCAGGGATTTTTTTGCGGTTTTCACCAAAATCTGTAATGAATTATGAGGAAGGTATATATTTTTTCAAGGTTTGTTGGGCAATCATGTCCAGTAGTCACGATTGCTCGTGTGGAGCCTGAAATAGCCGCTGATTTTTTTAAGACTGCGGTTGTCTGACCCATTATTTATAAAAATATATGACAATATCACTTCTACCTTCACTTTGATAATGGTAATTAAATTTAATCTCTAATAGACGGAACATTAGAATATTTTATTTGGACAAAACTTTATTTGAGGGCATCGGGTCCAATAGTCATAGAAATAATAAACAGAAATTAATACATAACATAAAAAATTGTTATAAAATATTACGATAATACAATACAAATTTGTCTTCATTGGATACACCGATCGATTGCCAATTGTTTAGTCTGTGTAACATACGTCGGCTGTTGCGTAGAATGATACGTCAAATGTTTTTCCTTAGTTATATCGCATATTAGTTTATTATTTAGTATTTAGTTGTCTTAAAAAGTATATTAATGAAAGACTAAAAAACACAATAATTTGTCCAGATATAAATTGTCCGCTTGAGAACTTTTTTATGGAAACCTCGTTTTTTACTTCAACTCTGAAAAAAATACGCGTTTTCTTATGACTAATGTCCTGTGAGTCACAAATCTAGGCTTAGTACATCAAGGTGAGAGAGCAAGCTTAATGATTAAACTGTCAAACGATCGGGCTTATTAAAATATTATAATGCTTTTGAAACTTAAAAAGATATATTTTTAAATAATAATATCTCTTATATATATATAATATTGGACATTACAATCTATCCTCACTTTAGACTAATAAGTAATTTAAGTATAACTTAATTTACTAATAAAGCTAGACAATATAATAAAGTGTCCAATGCAACAGTGTTTAACACTTAACACTAACATGCACTAACACCAGTATTCAAACGGTTTTTTAAGCTATTGCATAGATTTTATCGCGGGCTTTGAGCGCGGTGACCGAGTCAAGACATTCCGTAACGAAAATAACCTAACACACGATGACATAATATAGGTGCAGCCAATACGCGTTAGAGCGGGACAGAATGCATACTGCGTATTCACATCTCTCTGACGAGATCGGTGACGTAGCGTAAGCGCGGCCGGTGCAGCCGGTACGCGTTAGAGTGAGGCAGACTTTATAGACGTGTTAGCCTGAAGCTGCGTATAAATTAAGCGCGGCAAACCATCGAACATTGGCGGGATCGCCGCGCGCGGCGACTCAAACATTGCCGCGCTCGAACGTGCCGATGGCCGTGGTCGATCCGCTCGCTGTCGGTTTTTGAGACCGCATCAAAAGAGCTTCAGTCGTTGGCTCGCGCGCAGTTGGGACGGTTATAGTTTTGGTGATTTGGCTCGCGCGGCGAATACGTAAAAAAGGGTGCGTACATATACAGTTGTACATATATAAAGTTGGATTTAAATATTGATGACAAAGCTATAACTTATAAAGTAACTAATATAACAATTATATATTAATTACATACAAAAAATGGGTGCGTGTACTTATGTACGCGCGTAAGAAGTTATACTTCTCTGGCATTATTAAAAATAGTTTTTGATTGCATGCAAATAATTAATTACATACAATTAAATAATCAAAGACTGGAAAAGGAGTCATTATAGTCAATAAAGTTCAGTTTACATTTGAAAAATTAAATAAATAAAGATTTATTTTTCTTTTTTACAAATAAGATGGTGAATCACAATGAAAGCGGCAGCCGCCCGACCACGCGCGTCCATTATCGCAGGTTTACAAGAGTGAACTGGTCTGACTATCCGCCGCGGTCTGTTCGTCATGGATCGCCTGCCGCGCGCGGCAGTCACGTCCAACTAAATTTATATCTACATATTGGCTCGCGCGGCTGCCGCGCTTAATTTATACGCAGCTTGAGTCTGGTAGAGTCGTAGATTGAATTAATATCAAACACAAAAAAATACTAAATAAAAAATAAATAAATAATTATAATTGCATAAGTTGATAAAACATGCTATGCAATAGATGTACAGCGGCAGTCCCCGAGTGCCACACGTTTTTTTTTTAAACGTCTGGTGGTCCGGTCTCTGGTGTCAAGAAGTTGAATAGCCTCGACATTCAAAAATTCGTTCATTCAAAAAATATAGTAGGTATGTTTAAGTACAATAGTAGGTATTTAGGTAATATTAGCTGTTTCGAAGCCACACGATGAATAGTTTTCGCTAAGTGCGCTTAATCAAGAGCACTAAGAAACTTTAAGACTTCTCTGTTGTTTGCAACAATCTGATACAATTAGTATTTATAAAGCTGTATAAATGGATTCATAGACCCATGTAAGGTTTAAAGACATTTATTCTCATAACAGACAATAGTCACTTACATGAGAACTTATATACTAAAGATACAATTTATCACGTCGTGGGTCATTGAAGAGCTTCAAAGATGAATTAGCGAAGTAGAACTTGGGTGGACTTTAATTTACGTAGATAACTGGGATCACTCAAGAGATGGTCTTTTAGTTTTAATTTAAATATTGCCAGGCTGTCTGCACTTTTTATATTTTGTGGAAGTCTATTATACCGCAGCACTCCCCCAACGTTACTAGTGGTTGGTTCTTAATTCTAAGGAAAATACTGTGAAGAAACCAACACGGTAAAGAATTAAGCGGCACAGGACCGTGATCACCATTTACTTTTCAGGTAATATATAATAAATGACTGCGAGTTTTTATATCGAAGAATAAAGTCCGTTTTGTCTATATATTTTTTTTGGATATGTAAAAAATTAAGGATATGGGTCATTTAATAAATACAATTATTATAGTACATTTGGCTCGAAAAGGTAGGTCAGGGAGAATTTTCCCGGTATTATTGAAAATAGGAAGTTGGATGTAAATTTCTGAGCGGACCAAGCACATTGATTGCGTTAAATGTTAAAAAATACATTGATTTTGGAATAACATAGTAGTGATATTTATGTATATTATGTAAGTATACAAATATGTTACACTACGCTATATTTTGTGGAAATAATTCACTGTAATAGCAGTTAAAAAATGAAATACCGCCCCTGCAGGCCTTGTGTGGCCAATAAATATTGCACTGACCGTAAAACACGTAATTATTAAAATTTTAGTTTCATGCGCCGTGGTTACATTTTATAGCGGATTTTCTTCGAAATTATTCAGTTTTAATCTTACTTTTAATATGGAAAATATTTATAAGGACGATTTGTATTATTCATTGCTTTCTCTATTCAAGTGTTACTGTTATTTGAATTACTCTAGTACCAGAATTTTTAAGCTAAATTATTGAATGAAAATGTTTATTGAATACAATGTGTAATGTAAATAACAACATATAGGTACATATATCATATACTATATTGTATATTCGTACCTAAGTCATTTTGTTACGTATCTTAAAATGTTAAAATTATTAATTAAATTCTCTTGTATTTTTCTTAGAATTTAGCATTGCACATAGCACAATGTATGTATAAAGCCAAGATACGACATAAAGTATTTACTATTTATGTACTTTCTTATGTAAGTGAGTACATTATAACAGTACAGTAAAACAGTTTTATAATTTCTATCAAAGAAACTCCTTTTATCAGAAATGGAATGTAATATAAAGTTTGGTACATTAAATTTACACTATTGATCCATGATAATGAAAAGTTTCCTCCATTGATGAGATAATATTGAGTATCCAACCAATATCCGAATAAGATTAATTAGAATAATTAAATTATAATTAATAAAATTTGTATTTAAAAAACAAACCTTATGATCGATATTAAAGATTGTGTCCTTACAGTTCTTGTCCATGGATAACAGTTAGCATTTAAATCTAAAAGCCAGCTCCTTTACCCCTGTGTTATAAAAAAGCTTCCAATTCGAATTACACACAAAAAACTTTACAATGTCATAAAACGCTTTATATCTGATTGTATTACGCATTTGCCGAAATTAACGAAAATGCAATTAAACATTTCCGCGCTTTATTTAACAAATTTCGTAGTTATTAAAGCAATCGCAAAAGCGATTTAACTCGAACATAAAACAAAGTTGTTAATAATTTTGCATTTAAATCTGAAAGTTTTTGAAGCAAATTTCATGTATTGCGGTGGTTCACGCCTGCGGTAATGTAATTTAATACGAGTATCTGATATCATAAGTATTATCATAAAAAGTATTTTAAGCGCGAATTTCCGTTTTTATTTTTAATTATCTACCGTACGGTATTCGGTGGCAAGTTCATATTTTGTTTATTAATCCTCCTTACCCATACCAAACTCAATCTCATTGCATTATTGTAACACACGCCTCTCTTTCTACCTACTCTTTCTGTGTCTTTTCATTCAAGTTTTCTACTATAAATAAAAAATTGTAAAATTTAATAGATTAATTTTTTTTTTTTTTTAATTGAGCCTATTCCTTCCGGGCCGTGTTATCTCTTAACCAGAGAACACCGACCTGTTCAGTCATAGTTCTACTTGAAAACCTCCGAAACATATACAATCCACATATACTTAAAAAAATTATTAAACTTATGTTATATCCAGTGGCGCTGGATTACCAATATGATAAAGATGGGCAAGGATTAGGATCTAAAAGCTACCTTAATATAATACCTAATATATATAAAGTGATTTGTAGAACAATTTGTTTTTTTACAGGGAGTCGAAGATCACCATCTCCATACGCAACCACACACATCAGTGATCACGTGTACGCGAAGCCGGAGTCACGTGTGTCCTACTACGCTGCCTCTAACTTAACACATGTCTCACAGGTATTTTGAGATCAATGTATATTAACAATAGTCTTAATATTAGGTTCTTTCAATATTTTTTTTGATTGGACAATTCACACCAATTGACCTAGTCCCATGCTAAGCTGGTGAAGCTTGTGTAATGGGTACTAGGCAACGGATACACATACATATTATAGATAGATAGACCTTACACATCTACATACATATTTAAACACCTAAGACCTAAGCACAACACCAAATGCTCATCACATCGATGTTTGTCTCAGCTGGGGATCGAACCCGGGACCCATGGATTCAGTCAGGGGTACTGACCAATGAGCCGTCAAAAAAGTACATACAGCTACAGTTTTTATTAATGTTTTTCATCTCTGTCTGTCAAATTGTGTTTGGGTGAAAATATAAGTAGGTAGGTACGTCGTTTAGAAAGATGCAATAAGTTTTTGACGAATAATGCGGACTAGTTCTTTACATTTGTATATACATGTGTGTGTGTGTGTGTTTTAAGAGGAAACAATTACTAATGACTATACACTTGAGCTTACATCAAATTAGTTCACCATAATATCCATTCAGAATCTCGATCAAATAATCTATCTTTTCCTCGACAACTAACAAACAAATTGTTCCAAAGTAATCAAAACACAACTATATGCCTTCGTTCAAAAGTAACTTAACAAAGTATAATGATATTTGATAAAAGCAAGACAATCCGTATTTAAAATCAAACTGAATATTGAATAAAACTAACTTCATTACGCCCTTAAGCCCTAAATACTCATTAAAATGTCAATAATTCATTTATGAATAAACTTTGAGAATAATTAATAAATCTTTCTTAATTAATTTTGACTTTAAACTTTAAAGTATCATCCGTAAACTTTTAAGTAACTCAAAGAGTTTAGTCAATTAATAAATCGTTAAGTAAATTAAGACTAAAATTTTGTTTTATTCTAGAAATTTATAATTTATACTTCTCTTATAAAAAAGACGCCGTTGAAAGGCCACGTAGCCTAATGATTTATGTTTAGCAGCAAACTAAATGTTTTACAATAATTATGAATAAAAACAAAATTCTTATATAGACGTCTTGCCGTGCTGTAATATATGGTACACCAATAAGGCAACCAAATAATTAACAAATAAGAAACAAGAAAACCCAATTTTCCTACAATACCTATTATTAATACTAACTAACTAACCTATAATTTTATTTCTAATTAAATCTACCTTCTGTCTATGTCTAACATAATTGTTATAACTGGTTTTAGATTTGCTTGTATTAACAAAAGTATTGTTAAATTTTCTAACGAACTGTAGACATTACGACTCCAACGCTATACTGCGTTAGCGATCATAAACAACTGAGTAATATGCAAATATAAATATGAAAAAAAAATTCAAGGAAAAACGACCTAAATTATCCCGTCATATCAAAAAAGGCTTCATGACAAAATGAAAAAAAAAACAGCTTTGAAACCCAATATTCTTGTCCATAATATATAAAAGACATTTTAAAAATTCCAAGGCAGACGTCGAATGCGCGTGAAATGAGCCCTTTACCTCATTAGAGATCCAATTTGAGCTGCAACACCCCTTCAGGTGATACAAACGAAATATAATTAGCAATATTCTTCGTTGAAGATCTCACAAAGTATCTAGAAGCGGCCTGGAGGAACTTTTCAAAAATTCTGTTTCATTATAGCGCAAATATTCACATCGACTTACAAGGCACAATTCAATTTCCAGTAACGGTGCTGTTTTAATAATGAAATAAGACGGAATACTAACAAAAGGCTCGTAATTCTGACTTCTTACTTACTTTTGTTAATCATATACGTCAATACAATGATGTTTTTGCCCATTTGAAAGCGGAGATTTCTCACCATTGAATTACCATTCTTTACCATTGAAAATTATTGTAACAATTTATTAAACTAATTGTTAAAATAACACGTATTGTCCGTAAACGTGTATAACTTGAAGATGACAAATATCATTTTAAAATGAATTTAGCCGACAATAAACTATATAGTACTCTCCCAAGTGTGTAAATTCAAGCAATAAACTTGATCATATCCAGTAATCTACGTTTATTATCACGCTTGGCACGAAGCAAAATTTTTAATTTGCAACCCTCTTTGTTCGTAAATTTAATGCTAGGTTGAAATTCTTGAAAGGAAATATGAATTAGTGCCCAGAGGAGACCATAATAAGAGTAAGAAACTGGCGTGTTTTTAAAACCAAGTGCTAGAAGATTTAGATGATGATTTATACGACACAGGAAAAATAAGGGAAAGGAAATTAGCGGGTTGTTTGCTTAAGGGTTGATTTCTAAAGATGTTATCTTGTTTGTGTTGGTTCGTTCTTTTTACAAAATTATTACGTATTTCTTATGCTTACTTACTTAAAATACATAGTGTAAACTCACGTCTATCTATTTTTTTAAACTAAACTATTTAATGTGGTTTTATATACATATAATAAAAGAATAAGAAACTTTAATAATATTGATAAACAACGAATGATAAAATTCATTCGACGTATAAATTATCACATTATTGTCAAGATTTTGTTCACCAAAAAGTTGTTTTAATAGTCGAAAATGTCGGTAATGTAGTTGACATGTTTTGATCACAAAGTATCGGGCAGTGCAATGGTGATAAGAATTTATCTACGCTTATAAGGATATAAATATGTTTAATTTTACAAGCAGAGAATTGATCGGTGTCGTAGGATTGTTGGAATTTAATGGGAACTGTTTACAAATTATAAAACCACGCGTGAATATTGAATTAAGGACTGGAAACGTCATGATTGTTAAATAATAATTCTAAATGATTAGTTAAAACATACTATTTTTTTCTGTACTTCAGAAAAATAACGAATGAAATGGATTGTTGGAAATGGCTATGTACAAACAATTCAATTTCTCAAGGCTGTAGACACGTATAAGTTGGTTTAGTTAAAGGAGCTTGGATAGTTAATTATTTCTCTTTCTATTTTTTTTTAATAACTGTTACACCGAATAGCATTGTATAACTTATAGTTCATATTTATTTTAGAAATATATCTGTGAGCACTGTTTTGTGTAATATCTAATATGTAATTGGCATTTAGGTGATCGTCAAAGACCTTGATGTAATAAGGTGACTTTGAGTAAATGAGTTTAAAAAAAAGTTTTAAATATGTAATTTGTGATAAAAATAGATTGATTTAAATTATTTCATATATGCAAATTGAATTTCTTTACATTGGAAAGGGTTAGTGTGAATCGATCAGTGTCAGTAAACAGAAATTGAATTGGGCGGTATATCTAAAGCTTAGAAGATTTACGGGCGCATCTTCGAGGCGATTGCATGATGTCACACGGGATATTGCATAGACATGCTAGGCTTTGGCGTAAACCTTTCCGTTTTCCGTTTTCATTACCATTTTATATTTTGAAATAACACGGAGTATGCTTAGATTGAATTCCGCACTTGAACCAGTCACCACCGGTTAATTTGACCCGGTGACGAAGCATCTACATATATTTCTGTAATATGTGGTCAAAACATACAAATATTTTTATTTGCATTAAATGAAACACTATTGTGGTCACACCACTTGATAAGCACGACATCACAGCCAGAGATATTTGTTTAAATATCTGAAGTTTGTTTTTAAAACAGACCAAAGAGATAAATAGGTATATTACATCAAATATTTTCCAGCTAGGAACACTATTTATTAGAAAATTCAATTATTGTTTTAAGGATTTTTCTTGACTTATTATTTATGTTTCCCGTATAAACCTTTCCTGAACTTCCACAAATATTTCAAGATAATTATTAGCCAAAACTAGCCACCTCGAGTTTTAGTGATACAATAGCTATCCTTTATTTTTAATCCCGCAAAAGATGTTGTCTTTATGAATACGCCAACATTAAGGAAACCGATTTATTTATTGTTTTTGGTTCCATTTATAATAAGCAGTAATTGTAATTATGGTTACACTTAAAACTATTGTCTAGTTTTATTATTGACATTTCTTTACACACAAGAAAACAATAATTATACACAATAGTTAATTTTAATCAATTTTCTATAAACAACACACAAAAATTTGACGTTAATAATTATAATAATAAAATCGTGATAGCTGACACAGATACAATATCATACATATATTGCATCTGTTGATACAATGGTAAGCCGAACTTTGTCAATGGAGCTGCTTTTACCTGACCATTCGAAATTTATACTAATATTATAAAGATGATTCATTTTAGTTTCGTTTGTTTGTAACAATTGAAATCAAATTCTACTGGTCTTATGTTTTACCATTAGAATGTTATCTTTAAGTAACATGAGCTGTAATTAAAACTATTCTATGCAAAGCCAGAAAAGGCCGTTATTCTGAAATAAAAGATACGTTCTGATTAAAAGGTATTTTTGCCTTCTAGTACTACCTTGGTTAATCAAAAAACTGCCAGTCCAGAGCAATTTCTGAAGACAATCATTAATATTGCAATGTAATTGAAATGTCAGCGCGGCAACCACAGCGATTTGGTAGGACGTCTGAAATCTAATCTTTTGAAAATTGAGATCTATACGCGTTGATTTGAAATTGAAAATAGCGTTAAAATTGTCTACCAGTAAAGGTTTCAGATTCTATTACTAAAAGAAGATTTCTGAACATATCGTTTAAATCATTGAATATTAATTCTGTAATCGTCATTCATATAATTATTAAAAACAAAATTAAATATCGAACTGATAACCTCCTTCAGGGTTTTTACGGTAAAAATGATTATAATGTTTCTTGGATTGAAAATTAAATACATTTAAGCCCTAATCAGTATCATTTATGAAATCGTTCCTTTGAGAATTGCATTAGGTTTATTGAATTTGAAATATTTAGTAATAAATCAGTTTTTTTAACTGCTTTAAAAATATTTTGTACACAGCAAACAATAACGAAAGATCGTGTTACGGATCCGGCGGAACAGCTTCGGTTACTAACCACGCCTCGATCGAACATTCGGCTCGAGATTCTGGTCCAAGAAGGCACTTTTGGGCGAATTTATAAGGGCGTGTTCAAGAGAGGAGATACGTATGAAGAGGTCCTAGTGAAAACTGTGTCAGGTGGGTACAAAATCAGTCCCGTTTTGTTACTAATTGAACATCAAGTTGTTATAACTTTATCTTTTGCTAGTAATTGGTGCGTGAGGTGTGCAAGCGCAAGGTTTGTAACAGCGGCCGTTTAGCAACAAAAAATATTGATCGAAGCAAAAAGGATTTTTAAAAAACTTACTTAACGTACCTACTTACCTTACTGCCAGTTTTATTCTTGAAAGACCGGCAACACACTCGCCAGTCTTCTAGAATTGTAAGTGTTCAGGAGCTATCACTAAACATCAGTCATCAATCAAGCCCGTTTGCCTGTTCTTCAAAAAAAGCTAAAATTTCTGCAACATTTTATATAAATGCGATATTTACATAACTCATAGAAAGTTGAGCTCGTTAAATAGAAATTATTTAAGGCATTGTTTTAATATAACTTTTGAAACGTTTTTCTTTATGTTATATCTTCGACGGCCTCACGAGATCTACCCTATATGTTCTGGCCAGACGCATTTAACATATTATGTCTTTGTTTTATATATATTTAATATTTATAACTTAAAGGCAAACCGGAAAATGGCAGAATAAATACTTTGTACCCAACAATAAATGTTATTTAATTTATTTATTGTATACATTATTTATTTATTTATTTATTTATTTATTTATTTATTTATTTAGTTATAAAGCCCACAACATCACACACAGTCATAAGTCCACCAACTATTTCACAAAATCCCACATCTAAAATGTGTGACAGTTAATGCAAGCATAAGTTTCTCAGTAAAAAAATCAAATAGAAATTAAAAAAAAACACAACTAAAACACACACGACAATGCAAGCACACATTAAAATAAAATCAATTTTTAACATAAACATAAAATAAAATAAAATTTTCAACAACTATGTGCAGAAAAAAAAGAAAAATCATCAGAAAAAAAGAAATTAGGTTCTAGAAAGGCACCCCACAATGCTTTCTCTAAAACCGATCAGCCCACTACCGAATATATCCAGCTCTGGATACGCTGTGTTCAGTTTGTTGAAATCGCGAAGAATTCGAACGAGAGGTGCCTGAACTCCTAGGTTGGTTTTGGCAGATGGAATTTGGAATATATTGTTAATTTTAAACCTAGGGAATGAGTAAGGGACGACAAATTTGATTTCCTGTAAAAGGTCACTGTTCTGTAAATGGTTGTTGAGCAATTTATACAAGAATGTAACACCGGCTAGAGCTCTCCGATTGTTAAGAGATAACATATTAAATTTTTTAAGTCGCTGATGGTACGGTTGTCTATGTGAAAATCCTCTGCTTATGAAAGCTAGGTGTCGCGTAAAAGTATTGTATGCTTTCAACGCGTTGCGAATGGATCGCATATAGTGGATTCCATATAATACTACCAAACTCAACATGACTGCGCACCAGAGCGTTGTACAAAATTGTTTTAGTCGTACAACCAAAACAATCCGCATTCCGTTTAAGAAATCCAAGCATTCGTGCGGATGTGGTGACTACTTTATTGACCTGCGATGTAAACGTTAATTTTTTGTCAATAATAACACCCAAGTCACGAATCTCCTGAACCTCCTTCAATGGCGCGCCGTCAAGCTTATACACAGTAACAAGTGGTTTTTTTTTTTCTTGTGTATTTAATATGAAAGCACTTATTTATATTGAGGATCATACCATTTAAAAAGCACCAATGTTGTATACCATTAAGGTCACTTTGCACTAGAGCAGCATCACAGACAGTGTTAATAACTTTATAAATTTTTAAATCATCAGCGAAGAGAGACGATTTACAGTGCTTTATATGATTCTTAACGTCGTTTACAAATAGTAAGAATAGCAACGGTCCCAAATGAGATCCTTGCGGTGCACCAGATCGCGCAATATAGGGAGTAGACTCAGCGCCTCCAACAACTACTGACTGAGGCCTGTTACGAAGATAGGACCTAAACCAGTTTAGCAAATTCTCTCCCATTCCATAACCACGAAGCTTCTGAATCAGTAACGCGTGACTGACTTTGTCAAAGGCATTGCTAAAGTCAGTATATATGGCATCAATCTGGCGCCCACGATCTAATTCCTGACATGTTTCAGTAACAAAAGACATGAGGTTCGTTTGAATTGAACGGCCTTTTCTGAAACCATGTTGCTCATCAACGATACAGCCGTCTAAACATTTGGAGATTACGGGATACAGGACAGACTCAAAGAGCTTGGAAAAACAAGATAAAATACAAACAGGACGGTAATTTTTTACGTCGGTGATATCTCCCTTTTTATACACAGGTACAACACGAGACCTTTTCCATACTTCAGGAAAAACACCATCTTTAAGAGATCTATTATAAATAATAGTTAGGGGCAAAGATAACACAAATCTACATCGTTTTACAAAGATAGGAGGAATCGAGTCTGGCCCAGCTCCTTTGTTAGTATCAAGACCTTTTATTTTCTTAGATATTTCATCCTCTCTAAAGCTAAGGGACATTAGGCCGTCAACATTGCCAATGTCGTCTGGAGTGGAACTGCCAACAAGTGATTCATCACAAGTATATACAGATGAAAATTGATATGAAAAAAGATTAGCAATATCAGGTGATGACTGGGCTGTAACATTGTCCATTTTCATGCAAGAGGGAAGCGATGAGTGACCACCTTTCCTATTTTTAATAAAACTCCAAAAACATTTAGGATTATTAGGAATACTTGCCTCAATATTTCGCTTATATTTAGTGTAGCAATCATCATAAAGTTTGTGACAACGTTTTCTAATAATGTGATACTCTATTTCGTCTCGAGGATTCTTGTATATTCGATACCTCTTACGTGTTTTTTCTTTTTCAGCAAGTAATTTTATTAAGGAAGAACTGAACCACACCGGATACTTAGATTTCGTGATGGTCGTATTAGGTACAAATTTGCTTATAGTGGTGTTAAGAATTTTGTAGAAATTAGATACCATATCATTAACATCATCATGGGCGCGTAGGCTATCATTCCAATCAATGGTTTTCAGATCCCCTATTATAGACACATAGTCAGCTTTATAAAAATTTAGTTTAGTGTTACCTCTCGTTCGCAAAAAGGATATTTTAGAATATTCAAAACTTAACAATAAACTAGGATGATTTGCGTATATTTTACTTAACGAGTCGGAGGGGGCTGATACATTAATACTAGACATATTACTTAATACTAAATCTAAGAAACGATCATCGCTATTACCTATACTATTAAGTTGCTTTAGGCTATTCATAGACATAAAATCAATCAAGGCAAAGCCAAGTGTATTGTTATAATTACAAGGTGTCATAAAAACTTCATTATTTAACGATCTCCAATCAATGAACCCTAGATTGAAATCACCTAGAATAATGACGTCATCGCTTAAGTTTAAAGCTCTGTCAACGCTGTCTAAAAAATGTGTCAAAGTCCCAATCTTTACAGGAGGAGGTAGGTATACTACACATATCGAAAGTTTCTTTATTATTTTATTAATATTTATATGTAAGGTGACCCATAAGTCCTCCACATCCGATTCCCATGCCTCAACTCTGAAAGAAGAAATTTCTTTGGAGACTCCCAATATGACACCTCCACCATCCGATTTGGTATTGGTAGAACTTGAACGATCTCTACGATAAACAGTGTATCTATTGTCAAATAATTCCATGTTTGAAATACCAGATTTCAGCCAAGTTTCAGTAAGAGCGATGATCCCATAATTAGAAGTTGACAAATATTTGAGAAAGCTTGCCGTTTTAGTTCTCAACCCTTGTACGTTTTGATAATAAATTTCAAGCATTGTAAAAAATCAGTGTGTTACTAGGCTAAAGATACAAAAAGCTTACAATCTAATATACTATGCTATACTATGTTAAAAGATTTAAGGTTTCGTTATTCTTAATAAGCAAGGCTTGGCAGTTTTCGTTCTTTCTTGTAAAAACTCGTCCGTTGCGAACCCATACAAATTTATACTGCTTCTCTTTTGCTTTCAAGCGTGTGGCCGCGTAAAGAGCATTGTTAACTGATGTTAGATGTTCAGATACAAAAATAGGTTTCTTAGTTCCTCCAATACCAAGATGATGAGAGTTCAATTTATCTTGTGGATTCTTCCTATTAAATTCGCTCACAGCAGCCAGAACAAAGTCACGTGTACGCGGGCTACATAACTTAGCCACCACGGACCGAGGCCTATCACTGCTATTAGTTATTTTAGCAACCCTTGTTACGTGCTGAATATCAACTTGAGTGAGGGGACAGTCCACAGTCTTGGCTATACGAAGGACAGTTTCAAATAAATTTTCTGACCTATTCTCAGGGATCCCATTAATCAGTATATTATTCTCCCGGGCATGTAGTTCAACAGAAGTTAGCCGATTCGTTAAGTCAGCCACATTAGACTTTAACCTGTCATTATCTTTTTTTAAATTCACTATTGCGATGTCCTTCTCCTCAAGAGAAGACTTTATATCCTCATATTGTCGGCTCAGGAAGCAGATTGTGTCCTGGAATCCAGCAACCTTTTCAGTGAGATTATTAAGTTCCGATGTCACCAATCGCTTAATTGTCACAGTGAGGACTGAAGATAATTCCTGTTGTAAGATATCTCGCAATTTATCTTCAGTGACATATGATTCTAGTTCTGGTTCTGGTAGTTGTGAAGGGGGTCCGTGTGACGGCTTAATTCGCTGCGTTACTTTATCAGAGCACGGAGGTTCACTCTCCGGACTTGCTTCTTGTGAGCTCATACTAAGAGGGCTTCCATCGGAATTTTCACAAGTCAGCAATGACGTCTTTGCATTGCTAACATTAGTCGGTTTCCTAGAGCATTCGGGACATCTAAATGACGCCTTTTGTCTTGCGACCATCTCAACAAAGCGCTTGCGGGAGACATTAGCACATACTAGGTCGTATTTTAACTTGCAGATATGACAGCATAAAAAATCCTTCTTTGGTAGCTCAGTATGACAGCTAGCACAACAATTTGAAGGCGCCATAGCAACTTTTAATAAAAAGAAAAAACAAAAAAACAAGTGAGTTGCCTGGATTGGAACCACGTCACAAACTATATGACGATGTCTTGGCAGCGTTCTGCTACACTGAGCCGATCGGATAGTTGAGTACTTAGCCAAAATAATAGTATATATTCCAGACAAATAGCGGAGTGCAAACGCACAACGCGTCACCACGTTGAACAAAAACTCGACACTGTTTCACTGAATCTATGGATATGATTATTAAAATTAATCCAAAAACTATCAAGTGCAAATGCAAATGTTAATGTTATGATTCACTTGCGTATTTTTCCATTTGGCGTATTGTTGATTGACCACTGCACCAGAGCGCTTGTTATTATGTTGTAAATTTGATTATCCTATTAACACAACAACTTTGAAAAGTCACACACTGCACTTATTTGCCTTGCTTAATTCACCTAAAACAACATACTAGCAATATTAGCAGTATTTCTATTTTTAATCTTATTTTTACACGGGAGCCGATGTGTACGGTACCCACAACGACGGGGAACTATTTATAATTAAATAGTTGGATATCGAACAAACTTAAAACTTATATACTAAGACCAATGATATATATTTTCACTACGCCCTTTGATTGCGTAATTGGTAACCGATTGTGAAATGATGATGAAACCTATTTTATATTTTTGTTAAATTTATTATTGTTTTTTTTTTAAATTTTTAGAGTATTTATCATTGACGCTTGTAGATGCTGCATCAGCCATGCAAGCGGCTTTATTAGTAGCTGAAGGTCTACGGTTCTTCGGTCTGGTGCATGCAAATGTGCTATCTCCAATGGCAGCCTGCGCAGAAGAAGCTAGAAAACCACTCTTAGTATATTTTTGCGTATCACACTCTTCTAATCTTAAAAGGTGAGTCTTTAGTTAGGAAATAACTGGAAAAGGACCGACACAAAAAAACGTCAATCCTAAAATTTTCTGATCAATATCACCGTCATAAAGTTTTGTATGTGTACATTAACATTATAATAGAGCATGCTAATTATATTTTATATAGTATAATATATGTTGTAGATTTTATAATGATAAATACGCTTATGCGACCTAGTTTTAAAATTAATTAAATTATGTTTATCATATCTGTACTATGTAATTACTGCTTTTGATCGTGTTGTCTTTGAATACATGTTGTCAGCTGTCACATGTTGACTTTCTTTTGTTTAGTTTCTCTGTTGTAATTTGTCAAGTGGCTTTTTGTGAGTGTATCTATTGGTTTGAAGTGTATCTTGACTTTCTTAACTTACTACCTATAACCCTTAGATTTGCCAGATGCTTCCATAGTGAGCCTCTATCGCGTTGGGTCTTGAGCCTCGTGTTTCACCTCGCTCCAAGTCTTTCTTGCTCTCTTTTCCTCATCTGCAACTATACTATGCTTCCGGATTTTCTTGTGGTTTCCAATCCCTTCGGAGTGTATGGCCTATCCATTTCTATTCGCTTGATCATCTGGCTGATTGGTGTTTCTCGGCAGCGCCCAGCGAGAAGTGTATCTGCTATACACAATGACTTAAAATTTAATCCTTCTACTTCCTTCTTAATCCATCTACAAGAGATATAAAGTTATACAGTTAAAAAAAATTAATCGTTTTTTGCTAGATATCTAACGTCATGTCGGCTGGGACAACAAACGTCTCCGGCAACTCGAGAATTGGTGGACCTAGGAGCTCAGCTTGCGTGTGGCCTCTCATTCTTACACGTGCAAAGAGTAGTCCATGCTGATGTTGCATCCAGGAACTGCATGTGAGTTTTTTTTAAGTCTTAGAAGATGCTTTCTTTGGACTACTTTAAATATCAGACGTTAGACGTTGTCATTATTCCTGACAATAAATAAACAGCGTATGAAATTGTTTCTTTGAATTAATTTTTTTATTAGAAATAATTTAAAGACAGTTATGATGACGAATAGATTACCATTATTTTCATAATTATTCAAACAAAATTCTATTTAATTTATGGAAGTTTAGAGAATTGTCAAAAAAAATTTTTTTGTATAAGTATAAATATTCAACGTACGTACATACTTTTTCTCCTCAAAATTATTGCAACATCAATTTTCAATGCAGAGTGGATGAGAAGTTAAGACTAAAGGTGACGGACACGGGTCTATCACGTGATCTCTTCCCTGATGACTACCACTGTCTCGGTGACAACGAAAACCGACCAGTGAAATGGATGGCACCCGAAGCACTTCTTCACAACCAGTACACTACAGCTGCTGATGTGGTAAGTTCTTTATTTTATCGTCGTGATATGCGTCGGCCATGCGTCATACTCGTGAACGGGTGCTACTTGTGGTGACTGGTCGTACTTGAATTCGTGTATGCGGTGATGTTACTTGTTTCGACTATGTATTTGCGTGTTTTTCCCACGAGAATGTAAGTGCGTGCTCCTATTACACCAAGCCTCCTGCTGATAGAGGACAAATCTTTGTTTTTAATTTATTTAATTATTATTTATTACTTAAGATGTCATGTGGAACATGGTGTAATTGACAAACTTGGCGATTAAAAAGAGTGGCGGAGAGTTTATTGCCAGTTCTTCTCTTCGATTAGATTAGATTAGATTTGAGAACGGGCAATAATTGTAAAATTAGAAGCATTTGATGTGTATTAATTATTTTTTGACGTTCATAAGTGTACATTGTGTTACCTATATGAATAAATGATTTTTGACTTTGACTTCGACTGATATATCATATTATTATTATTATTATTATTGTTAGTCCGCTAACAATATGATATATCAGCTCATAGTATGTTTCACAAATCTGAAATGTATTGTCATTTTGTTTAACAGTGGTCATTAGGAGTAACGCTATGGGAGTTAGCGACCTTGGGGTCATCACCTCTAGCCGAGTTGGATCCAGCTGATGTTGGAGCTTTTCTTACTGGCGGGTACCGACCAGCGCAACCGCATAACTGTCCTGACGAATTGTAAGTTAGCTAATGATTGCATACTTCAAATAATTTGCGTTTTGTTTTATTATCATTATCATCATTAAAAATAATAAAAAGCTACAATTTTAAGTTGAAAATAATCAATCAAATCTTAAACAATTATCTTACTTTAATCAAAGATTCCTAATATTCGATCATGAATAAGACAAGTTTACATAACACCTTTCTATAATAAAACTATCGCTCTAGTCTATAATGAATACAAACACAATCTTTATTTGAAGGTACGGTCTAATGTGTTGGTGTTGGACGACATCTGCCGCCGCCCGCCCTTCGGCGCCGCAATTACTCGCCGCCCTACACGACTTTCGGCAAGCTCTTAGCACTTATATCTAATTTTTCACTCTTAATAGTTTTAACTATAACCACTATTCAACCAAGGTCATTCCTTGTTACTTCATTATTAAAAGGTCCTTTATTTGTTCTATACTTTCATGTCTTATGCCCGGGTTCTATACAAATTAACCAGTCGATCGACTTGTTTACGTTTTTTTATATAAAATTTTTTTGAAGTGGTCAGTGATCACGTCTTAATATTTATTCTTTAAATGTTATCTATAAATTAGTATAGCGTTTAGAGCGACTTTTTGTTCTGAAATGTGAATTTAGTTATATCTAGTCCGGAAGATGTTTTTTGTATAGTGTTCAAGATATTATTATTATTATATATACGTTTTGCTACGAAACTTTGGCTAGTTGCTTTCATTGTATTTAAATATAGAACTCGGACGTTAGATATAATTTTGATTAATGTAGATTTTATATTTCATTCTCTTCTATTCACAATAATATAATACCAAAGTGCCTGTGTGCTCAGTTCCATTGTTTTTATTTACGTGCTGTGAGGGACCAATATCGAAAGGTCACAGACAATTTTAATTGATTTATCGTCAAAGTATAACACCTTACCAAAGAACTAATATTAACTGAAGCTCATTGGTCAAATTAATATTCATAGCGGTGGTTGGTTCCCAGGGAAATAATAATTTGGTAGGAAGGCCTGAAAGGTTGACCAGAAGGTAAATATTTAATGGACTCCGTTAGGAAGTAATAAGTCAGAAGTTAGGTTATAAACATTACTACTACTCAAACAACAACGCCAAAGAATACCCAAAAATTATTTGCAGTAGAAATTAATGAATGGTATTAAAAAAATGAAATAATCGCGTGTAAGATTTTTCATACAAATTTCAATGTAGATTTCATGGTAATACTATACTGTGGCTAGCTTTCTTTTAAGACTAGTTAACAAGTGAGACTGGAAAATTCACTAAATATAGTGAAGTGTAAGTGAATTCGTGGAATTCAAATTAATGTCTAATTGCACTTTAAGATGTATATACAATTGTAGAATAAACTTTAATCAAATCTAAGTGTCTATTTTATAATGTAGATATTAAATTGTACATAAAGAGAAGTCAATGCAAAATGGAATTTAATTTTTGATGATCGTTAGGCTATGGCGTTTTGTTTCGTGTAATTGATATATACATAGTAGTATTTTCCAATGAATGGTAAAACAATGTTTGGCATAAGTAATTTCATATAATTTGTATTATTTTTAATTTCCCGTACTATGGACAGACTTTGACAAGTGACTAGTCCTAGATAATCTGTTTTTATTAAAAGAGAATTTCTATAATATATTGCATAATATATACTGATGAAGTACAGTCATCCAAAAAACAGTCACAAAGATTCACTTCGTAAGTTAATAACCATAAATTATTCTTATTTGTAAATATTTAAATAAGAATTTACAATGCATTTTGAAGTCAGTTATTATATAAAAATATGATACATTGATTGCCACACATTAGGCCATTCTATGCAAAATAATTTAAATAAAACTGTTAATAAATTGCGTTAACCCAAATTTGTATACAATTTTTTAACGGCGATTGATCAAAGCCACAACTTTAAACTAAAAAATGTATGACATGTCAATTACATGAAACAAAACGTATTTTATTATAAGATAGTTTAAGAGTTCCTGAGGACATCAAGTCCGTCCAGGCGCCGTAAGGATTAACACCAAAACTGTAGTTAGTCACGAATATAGCATTTGAACGATTATTTATACATATATAATTGTATATAGTCTTTTATTACGAGTATTATATAAAAAACTAAAATCTATATCCATTGAATGCGAAACGACGGGGCTGTTTTGTAGGTTTGAATGAATAAAAAAGTTAGGATTATATGGGGAAAAAATCTCGTGTAGAGTCGGGAACAGAACCTGGTCGATTTCAGGTCACTGTAGTGCTAAATTACGTTTTTTTTATGTTCACTATTACGTCATTGTAGTTTGACAGTAATTATCTTATTATATACAGAAATTAAAAGTGTATAATTCTTGCGACTTGAAATGACGCAGGTGTTGAAGAATAATTGTATTATAATAACTGCTACGGCAGTTCTCTTTCCGCACAAACTCTACATGAGCTTTTATCCAGTATATATAATATTAGTTTTCTTGAATAGTTTGTGAATATTGTTATTAGTTTTGAGATTAAATTGAAAACAAATGAAGTAACAGTTTTTGGTCAGACTTGATTCTCAAAGGTCATGGAATCATCGTTTAGTGTTCTGTTCAACGCAAACTTTTCGAACCTTCACAAATAAACTATAATTACCGTTTCGCAAATTCAGACAAGTTAAAAAAATCTAGTCGAGAAAAGTAAAACTGACAGTTGACATTTGACTTGACATAAATGACAATTGTCTAATTTAATTTGACATTTACAATATCTTGAATTTATACAGATTATAAGTCGGTATTTGTTTTTAAATACTGAACAAATAATCTATGGAGGTTGTAATTTGTAGGACTAAACAAAATTTTGAATAATAATTTATATTATATATTTGTCATGTCATGCATCTCATATTCTGTAGATTATTAAATCAAAAAAACTTATACCAGATTATAACTTTAATTACAATTGTACAGTTAATTAGTAAGTATTAAATTGCCCCGTCGTTTCGAACAAAGATTTGATTTAAAAAAAATGGATAAATCCGTATCCACATTACCTTAAACACACCTTGTAAAAATAATCTGTCAAAGTCGTATCGTGAGAATATTTGTCTATTATCAGATGTTAATATAGGAAAATATATACATTTTTAATAGATTTATACCGTGTAGTGCAATATTGTAAATACGTCACTTGTTTTAACGATATTGTGTTTCTGCTGCGTTGAATTTAAGTTTGATTGCTTGATATAGTAACTGTAACATCCAATAGCGATTGCGACCGCGATGCCGACCTCAAACACTCTTAAGCAAGTGTTCGATTGGACGTCTACTTTTTTGTCCGCAGTATCCAAAGATGCGAAAGCATGTATTGAGGGACTACATCGAAATTGCCGACCAACGCTTTTGGAAATTACAGAGTACCGACGCTGATTTGACTTACAGTTTAAGCTTTGGTAGCTTTGTTAATAGATCAGTATAGTTTATATCTCTTTCAAATAACTTACATTCAATTATCACAGTTGAATTAAAGTTGTGTATTAAGTTTTTCGCGTAATTTAAATTGTAACTATCGTGTTTAATTCGATAAATGTCTGTTAAGGTTATAAATGTATTGCTGTTTTATCGTAGCGATAGGTCTCATATAATTTGTATGTGAATTTCCTATTTTATACCTCAACATTTTATTTATACTTAGCTTTACTTTAATATAACGATTTGTATAACGCGTTATGGAATATACAGGGTGTTTCAACTCTTAGGCATTATGCGTATATCTCATTTGAGATGCTTATATGATAAGTCGTACCATTAACAATATTCGTACTTATTAAAATTTAATAAATGTACCGTTGATTCTAGAGCCGCTTTTTTCGCTCAACGAAAAAGTATTACATACAGCGACAAAATGCGAGTTTTTTTTTAAATTCATATTTCTGTTTTGGTAGAGCGTTGGTACGCTTATGACCACAAATACATTGGCAATAGTAAAATTAACATCAATAGGCAAGAATTTAAATAACACATTTAAATGTGTCCGGATATGTTATTTGTCTTATGTATAAATTTAAAACCAACGACTTGAAACGTAAACATAATTAGGTCACATTAAATTTTAAATCAATTTGCGTTTATATAATTTTCAGAAGTTTAATGAAACATTTTAAAGTAAAAGTGGACTTGAAAAGAAAAACCGTAGGATATTTGAATTAGTACAAATATTGGAAATGGTCGCTATACTATCTCATTGTTTGCATGTTAGTATAAATCGTGAATCGGTGTCTAAATGGGTGTAACTTATAGGTATAAAGACAAGCACAATCAGTCAAAATATATGATATTGCATAAAACAAGTAAATTAACACTAATATTATATTCATTATCGTGTTTTAAAATGGAAAAATTAACACTTACAGAATTTATCCTCGTAAATCTTATACTAATCTAGCCAAAATTTCTGGCTTTTTGAGTGGACTTTCGTCCTTAAATCTTATATATTTATATTGCTGTCATATTCTGTTAGATCTATTTAAACCGAGAAACCGATTCAATCTCAATTCCTTCAAAGCCTTCCAAGAACTATTTCGTATCTCAAGAGGCTCTATTGATCAACCCTTACATCTCTTTGACTAGATAAAATTACAGACGCTTGAACACTAGATTTCCCGTTTAATTCGTTTAGAGTGACAATTATTAATTGATAAGTAATTTATGTTTAATAAATGTATATCAGACTCCAAAATGAATAATCACGATATGACTTTTAATTTCCGAGAAAATTGTAAATAAATATAACCTAAAAGGGTTATCAACGTCAAAGTATATTGCGTACACACAGATTAAAGTGAAACCCTCCTTTTTTGAAGTCGTTTAATAAACACTGAAGTCAGTGAAGACGAGATAGATAACTTTCTCTGATACTTGAATGGTAATGCCAAATTGAATGAGATTTCTACGTGTTTGTGTAATCTAGTGTTATCAGCGCTTCGGATGTTACAATAAATGCATCGAAGATGGGTTCCGAATCTTCTAGAAAGTGCTTACATCCAATTATTGAGTAATTGGAAATCAATATGGGTTTTGCAGCTCTGTTGTTTTCAGTTAACCGTAACTGATTTTGTGAAGGGGTTATATAATTGTTACATTTTTACAGTAATAAACGAGCTTGTAAGCCTTCTGGCAGTGCCCAGAGTGTCCATGGGCGGAGAAGAGGTATCATTTAACATCAGCTGAGCCTTCTGGCCGTTTGCACCCTGTTTAATAAAAAAAAATATCCTACTGATGATACCGGTTTTATTAATTTTAAAACACTTTTTTCATTTTTGCAACAAATTATCAAAAACTAAAGCCAATT